GTAGTGCTCATTAGGAGAGTGTTAAGTCCAGCATGTTTCTCTAATCTAATCAGCTCTCTAACTCGCACCCCCCTCCTCCCTCTGTCGCTGCTCCCCTCCTTACTCTTTATCCCCTTCATTTGTCAGCTTTGAAAAAAAATGAGAGAAAGACACAAGAGAGTAAAAGTGAGGGAGGGAGAGGCAGAGATAGGGAGAGGACGAATAGCTGAGATTGAAGGAAGTCCTTGAGACCAGAAAGCGTCTCTTGAGGGTTAGCATGAATTGGAGAGGAGACAGTGAATTGGGATCAAGAACTTTTTGTCAGTTAAGGTCTGGTACACATGTAGTTGGAGAAAATACTGGCCATCATTTAGTGAGGAATAGATCCTTGTGGACCTCTGTGATGTGATGCAAATGAAGTCCATTGGGGTTCCTCTCCATCTTATGTGCACGAGTGCTTCTGATCACTGCTTCTCCAACAACTCTTTGATAAAAACAGATTTATCAAATAATAATATCTTTAGTCAGCCATCAGTTTCCCTGTCTTCAAATTAAGATCTAAAGTTGAACAAACCCCTTTCTAAAGAATACAAAGATCCCATTGTTTTTTCATGTTCACTCCAGAACAATTACAAGAACTAAAAGAACTTCTGCTTCCTCAACACCAGATTTAATTCACACTGATGCTGCTTCAAATAAATTCATCAGAGGCATGAATAAGGGAGGGTGTTTGTGTAGAGTGTCAGACTTGCAAATGAAGCCTGTCAAAATAAGGTACGAGGCATAAGATTGCAGCTATTTACTTAAGAGAACAGATAGACGATAGAGGAGCAAGGGAGAGAGAGAAAGGAAAAGAAAATGTGAGTGCGACGGAGAAGAGAGATGGAGAGTAAAATACGTGGGAACAGAAATACAGTTGCCAATTTCCCGTCACCGACAGGCAGCAGTGTTGACAATGCCGGTTGACAGCCAGCTTCCCCTGGCCGCCACCCATTCATTCTGTATTGTAAATAAACTGTCTAAGGGGAAATGTCAGCTGAGAGACAGAAGGAGAAACTCTTAATATCTCTTCCCTGCTCCAAACCCATGCAGCAGCCCAGTTGCCAGGCAAGTGACGGACAAGGCAAGTAATGAAGATGGCACACACAACCTGCTCTGCTGGGGCTGACAGTAACAAGGGCTGATGCCGCGACGCTTAAAGGTCCCCAAGGCCTTGCCGTTTAAACCCCACGGTTACACTATAAACTGTCCCACTGTGCATCTGAAATAGATCTTGCTGTGACCTATAAATGCGACTGATTAGAGAGAGAGACTGGGGGGGTGGAGCAGTGATGGGTGGGAAATGGATGACAGCCATGTTTTGGTCTAAATGTTGCAATCATGGAGATGATAAGGAAACTTGGACGCCTCCAGCATGACTCTTGGATGATAGGGAGAGACAGCTCCAGGAGTGTGCCTGGCTGTGCCTGTGCAGCTAGAATTGATGGTCATTGTGACCCAAAAAAGGGAAGAGGAAGGAAAGAGTTCCTCTGTGACTAAGCCAAGCCAAATCTGTGTTGCATATGAATATATGAAATAGTTTGCCCTGAGTCAAATTTTAGAGATCGAGGCAAAGGACATACAAATGACATGTTGCACCACATGTAACAAAGTATTCTGCTTCTGTAGACTCTCTTATTATCTTCACATCGTGATCAAAGTCAGTGAAACTTTCAACAGGATCCAAACTGAGAAGGCATGCAGAGATGGAGAAAGAGGCAGCTTCGTCTGCTGACATTTTTCTCTCTCTCTGCCTGTTCCTTGAGGCCATTCAGCCAGGCAGGCACCTCATGCAAGCTCTCTAATTGTCATGCAAAGGTAGTTTGCACTGGTTGGCGGCTCGCGGCTCTTTTTGCTGAACATTAACTCTGCAGTGGGTCCTGCCAGCCCATTCCGTTTACCCTATTATGGAATCAGGCACCTGGACATTGAGAAAAGCGTACACCGCGTAGTAGTCACTCATTTCATTAGAGTTCTTCCAATAACAGCATCTGTTTGTCTCTAATGTCTGTCAAGCTACAGTCTATGTCTTAGGCTGTTGTCTATTGCTTAAAAAGGTATTTTACTGGGTAGGAATGGCTGGTTTAAGTTTACATGTTAGCATTGATCATCATATATCTAGTATCTACTGAAAGAGAGCGAGAACGGCAGACAGGCAGAGCCAAACACAGCATGTCAGCTCCAAATAAGGTAGAAAATGAGCAGTAAAATGGTTTTATTTTGTTTACTTGGCCAGCCGTCTCTGGAGGTGTCCAACTATTTTCAAACACAGTTCCATTCTGAAAATGTATTTGTCTGGCTGGACAGAGAGAGCATCCGATGAATTGCAGAAACCAGCTGCTGGCTTGGCGGCAAGACATCAAACAAGTTAAAGTCAGAGCACAAGATTGATTGTGAGAAACCAGCATGCACTACTGCTATAGCAATTATTTACAAACTAAATGAACGAATACACAAGCATCATATTCTGCAACCAGGATTGATCTGCTGAACCATTTCAACAAAGCTAAATCTTGCCGTCATGCAAACAGCTTGAAGGCAACCAGGTGCTTTTTATAGATATAAAATATTGTGTGCCGTCACAGGGGGTCGGATGTTAACAAAGACGACTAGAACTAGAACTTTTCCTTTACCTCCTAGCTGAAGCTGGAACAGACGAGGTGCTGTTTTACAGATTTTCACAACGTAAAGTCAGGCTGGTCTGATCAATAACTGAAATCAGAATAGCCAGAAGGCCTGTGCTTTTTCCCAGATAAATATCACCAGCTGTCACAGGGGAGCACCTTGTTTACTGACTCTTGGCTTGGAAAAAGAGAAGAGTAATGGTCAAATTTACCTCAATGAGAAATATTCTGCAGCTGAACCAACCCTAGACTGATGTTATTCAGGGACTGCATTAATAATATTAGGACTATCTCGAGTGGCAGCTTAGAATACATTATATCACACATGTTCCATTCTTTTCATGAATGTAGGATTCTGACAATAACATATCTTAAAATATGTGGTAATGGACACAGTATGAGGCAGGTTTGAAAATACCTTCTGCATATTGACTCACTCCTGACAACTAGAGCTATACAGAATATGGCACATAGAATTATTATGTTATTAAACACCATGTCTATTACACGTCTTCTCTTTAGCTTATATTGCAACCATTTCCAGAGATGCATACATGCATTGATTTTTCAGGTCACAAACCTCCCTAACCTGCAGCACTGGGAACACAAATAATCAATTCTGCCTCAGGCTCAAAAAATGAGACTCAGATTAAACCGCACACACTGTGTGTTACAATTCTATATGACAAGTGTCCAATTTTAATGGTTTCAGTCAGAAAAGTGGCACAGTAGTTCCTTTCAGATTAGTTTCCCTCACCTCAGCAGTCATTTCATACTGGGCAGGTCGCACACTAACACCTAGCAGAGTCAGGAGAGCCAGGTTCAACAATATCGACAGTACATGTAACTTGGTAAATCAAAAGTTAGTGAATTGTTTGTGTATTAATGTTTAACCTCGGCTGCTAGGGGTCTCAAGCAAAACAACAAAAGACTTGTCTTGATGTGACTCTAGTGTAAATCATGTTCACAGATGAGGTAACGTATAGCAGAGATAAGCAAAGCCATGAGTTAAGTGGATATGACACAAAATGTGACCAAATTTAAACGTCCCATTACACTGAATAAAAATTGGGTATTTCTCTGGGTTTGAAAATTGTTGGAAACATTTTTAGACATTTAAATGAAACATCTTTAAATGACTGACATCTCATTGTTAATTTGTGGAGAAGATCGTCCACCAACAACGAGGCTGGTGGTCTGATCCCCAGCCCCTCCAGTCCACTTCTGACCTTGGGCGTGATACTGAACCCTAAATTGTCCTTGACGGCTGTGCCGACAGAATGAGAATGATGTGTGATAGGAAAAAAGCTGCACATAGAATCGCTGTGAATGTGTGTATGGACTACTGACTAGACATATAAAGCATGTTGAGTGGTGATTAAGAAAGGAAAAGTGCTATATAAATGCAGTCCATTTAGCATTTTGACGTATGGAGCTGGGTGTTTAAAAAGAACACCGTAATGCAATTAGTGTGTATTTGGCTGTGACCAGCTGACGACATGCTGATGAGGAGGCAGAGATGACTTCCTGCCTGAACGTGCAGTAAAAGCCCCACATCTATACTGTGGGTGATTTATATCAGATCACTTGTCAGTCTTAACGCATCCATTGATTATCAGCGAATCTAAAACTACACAACCAAATTCATTAAAATTCATATAAAGGAATGGGGCATGACCCAAGGAAGAACCCACTGAATATCAGTGCCGATCTGGAGCTGGGGCATTTACAGGAATTTTCTTCACTTTCTGTTTGTGGGACAGTGTTTTTCAAAATCTTCATTGATACCTCAGAGAATGATTCACTGGTTTTGATGAAAAATATCAGACACGTTTAGGGAGCAAACATGAGTGTGTTCAATATTGTGCAGATCCAAATAAAGAAATCTGTATTTAGTGACTGAAATGTGTTTTGATAAGTCTGCAGTCTCATTCAAGATGTCCAAAAACCAGTTAAGTAACTTTACGGGCTGATAACTCCACTGAATGTTGCATCTTTTGCTGAATACAAACAAGGCATAAAACAAGTTGATGGTGAAATGCATCTGAACAGTTGCCAATATTTGAGCTTTTACTGTCCATACAACTGCTGAGAGCCTCTCTTCACTGTGGCTTATTTTTACCAGTGAGCATGTGCTGTCCTTTGCAGCTCTCAGAATCCTGCATGTAGTTATGGTTCAGTGAAGTTTAAAGTACTTCAATGTTCAGCAAAAAAGCAACTTCAAGCTGTGTTTCATCACAAAGGCAGAACCTAAACTTGGTGCTTCCCTTTTCTGTTGTGAGCTTCAGGCTTTAGGAGTGTGCTCTTCCACCTTTGAAAGAATAAAACTATAAACTACTATAAAATCTAAATCCCCACCTGGCATGGCGTGGACCAAGTCCCCACACAGCACCATAAACCTCGGCCTAGGTCTGAGCTGGTTAACGGCCTCCACAGCCTGCTTGGTGAGCTCCACCTCCTCGGCCCATTCATCCCCTCCGCCGTCGCAGTCGCCGTCCTTCCAGGCCTTCATCAGCCCAAGCTGCGGGTCTGCGGCCTGGATGAAGCAAAATGGTCCCTTCCACTCTCGCTCTGCATCTGGAACAAAGGAAGGCAAACATCAAGGTAATAGCTGTGTCGACTGAGACACTTTGGTTACTATCAAGTCCACAAAGCAATAAAAGCAATTTTATAACTGACACAGGACCAAACTATTGTGTAATAAAAACGGTGTCGCTCATTGAGATGAACTGACCATCAGCTTTCAGGATTCATCATCATATTAACTTATCTTTATTTTATCTTTCAGCTCATTGTTTTGTCGCATGGTAGAGCTGGACAATATGGCTAAAAATATTTTAGGTAAAAACATTCTAATCAGTCGATATTGATTATTATAATATTTTAATATTTGAGTTTGAAGACTAATGTTTGCTCTCTGGTGCAGGCTGTGATGTTAAAGTCTTCTTTATGAGCAGAGAATGACAAATTAAGCATTTTACAAATGTTTTTTACTATTGATGAAAGTAAACATGCCATAATAATTTATATTGTTTCATGGCCCATAACTGTATTGATTTGCGCTCTCATCAGTGTCATTTCCAGACCCATAAAGTGATTGTTCACACATCAAAATATGCTTAATTTCAATTATTGATTAATTTGCCGTATTTTCTTTTGTTTGTGATGCCTTTATTTGATTGAACAGTGAGAGACAGGAAACAGGGTGACAGAGTAGGGGAATGACATGCAGTATATGGTCTGGCCAGCTGGGAGTGAAACGGAAGACCAGCTGCTCAAAGGCGTATGCAACCATGTGGTATGTGCCCAAGCCATTCAACCAGCAGGTCTCCCCATTGGCATGTTTATAACGATTTATCTTTATACAGCTAAAAACACAAAGAATGCTTGCGTCACTCCGATATGGTAAAATACAAATCATAAAATTGTCAAAGTGATGCCTATTTTGACCAGCAGGATGCCAGGAGCCAACCACTGCAGTAGTTAATAAGAGTTTTATATTTGAACTCGGTCCACAGATTGACACCCCTGATTTCAAGGCGCAGGTTTACTTTGATTTTATGACTGTTCAATGTATCGTGGGTCCAAATCACAACAAATTCAACACTGCACGTCCTCGAGTCATTAACAATACACCTGCCAAGTGTGATGGCGATAAGAACAATGGTTCTAGAAATATGTGAGCCACATACAGACAGACATTTGTTGAATTAGCAGATAGATGTGAGGCAAAGAAAAGCCTCACGTCTTTACATTTGAGAAGCTTCAAACATCAAAGGTTTTGTTCTTTTGCTTAAAAAAGAAAGACGCTAAAATAGCTGTTGATTAATTTAATCTCAATTTAATTAATTAATCGACAAACCAATGCAGAGCTAATCATCTTACCTATTAATGGAAAATGCATAGAGTGAGGTACCTTTTTTTCAAAAGCTTCTTAAAGCAGGGCACACTCAATTATTGAATATCTGTTAATCTGTTAATGACATGACTTTCAATATAGTAGCCGAACTCTTTCACTAATCTAACTGGTACTAACTTCACATTCTGGCAGCATCTGAACATTTTCATTTCAATATGTTCAGGTCATAGGACGCATAAGACGCAGAACACTGCACATAGCAATCGGCAGACAAATAACAAGCTGCAAAGGATTAGCTGTGATCGCAGCATTAGTCATTCAGCGTTGTAAGGCCCGCTGTGAGCGCTTCATGTGGAAACCACATCATATTCATTCCTGGAATCAACACTTGATTTTTGTTTTTTAAAGCAGTGTGATGGGGGTGGGTGGGTAGGTGTGATTTGGGGGGGTACACACACTACTTCATGAGTAACCAATGCTCAATAATTAACAAACAGCCACATGCTGGAGAATGAGCTGCAAAGAACAAGTGTTTTACATAATCCTAACATTATGCAACAGAGAGAGACCCAACAATCTAATCAGCCTCTAATCTTTATTAAAAAACTGTGCCCTGATTACAGAACGGAAGCAGACACTCTGCTTGGCTGATGGTAATGACAAGGTGTGATGTGAAGGACACTGCAGACAGCCCGGCAAAGAGACTTGGAAAATAGAAAGATGTTTGTGGCAGATGCTAAGAGCAGGTGTAAACAGCTTTCTGCTACACTCAGGGTGTGGAAGCAATACTGTGGTTGTGCACTGCTGTCACAGAGGAGAGTCTGCATGTGAATTGTGCACAAATCCCTTCACTCACACTCAGCAGGGGATGGTAGCTGTTCAGCACCCTCTGTGTTTAACATGCTCTCCGTGTATCCCCCTCCCAAATGAGTTCATGATAATTCTGTCCTCCGGAGAAACTTGAGCAAAGATAGGAAAAGAAAGAGCAACAAAGGCTGCCTTGCTCCTGGGAACTAGATGAATATGATCATCATCCCCTCTGTGTAATTGATATATTATGAAATCACATTCTGCTTTTATGATTATCATCATCCTTACAACCAAATTACTCGAGAAACTAGCCCGGATCTTAACTACACATCGAGGTCGGCTGATGAATTCTGAACTCAAAGCAGTTCCCACTGCAGTAGTAAAGTGAAGTTGCCTAACTTTGTCTGTGACGGTCTATCAACATTTACTTCTGGAGAGAGTTAAGACTGGGTCTTTTGAACAGATCATCTTTCATCAGCACATCTTGATCTCTTGCAGCTCAGCAGAATCTGGCCTCCAAATGCGCAAGATGGCAGGCGTTCGTATCCATGTTATTATTTTCATTGATGGATAGAGAAAAGTAGTGGAGACCCATGTTCCATCTTTATATATAGTCTATAGTCCACCCCCCCCACTTGGGTTGGTTCCCCATGAGACTGATAGGCCATCATCATCGGAAGTTCTCCAAAAAACTGACTGGATCTACAAAGATTTCCTGAAGCTGAAAAACACAAAAAGACTACAGTTTTTTACTACAGTCTCCCTCCCTTTGGAGTCTGATGAGTGAACCATTTCAACAACAAATGAAAATGAAATACTACTGATAATAAAAAAATTAAAAACACAAGGACCTGGAGGATTGAACAAAGCTCCCATGACAGGAGATAAGAGGCCGCAGCCTTGTGTTGTCTGTGCAACTTCAAACATAATCGCACAACTTCAAACATAATGGCAGACTCATTTCTCAGGGGGCAGATGGTGCGCTCCAAAGAAAACAAATCATGATTCGAGATGAAAGCACATGGAGGGAGGGGGGGCATTTAATAAAATACTGAACATTTCAATCTTCCCTGTGGGTTCCTGTGTAAAAGCAGGTTTCTGATCCAAGGTTCTGAAGAATATATAGAACTGATGAGGCCTGTGAGTTAATCCTTGAATATGTTTGACTGCAGGGCTGGAGCACACAGCTTAGTGAAGCCTCCTCTAAAGCTAATTTACCTACAGCCACAGAGACAACAACAATATCAAGGTTTCAGCTCTGTGAACGTGACTGTTTAGTGTGAATTGTTGGCCAAGTATTGATTCCACAATTATTTACCTAAAACTATCGCCTGTGCTCATTCTCCAGCACATTACTGCAACAACAACAACAACAACAACAACAAGAGGGAATTAACTTATTTAGTTCATCGTTGAAACGAAACACAACACAACACCGAGGGTCATTTAGCAAACACAAGCCAGCAAAGTAAACCTTGTAGTCAAACTGTGTTTAGAAGGTGTTTAAAACGAAGCTACACAAACACGGCAGCGTCAGCCTGGACTCAGTCACACCTCTGACCCGCCGCAACAACTTGTATAACAGGGATCGTTAGCTTGAGCGTTAGCCTGGAAGTTGGCTAAGCTAAAAGAGCTAAAGCGCTCGGCTACCTTCAGTCAGTCCGCTGAATGTGCGGTGCTGTGCCCTGAGAAAGGTGTCCACGCTGTCGGCCATAACACCCGCCGGTTTCCGAGCAGCCCGAGCGAACTGTGCTGCCACCTGTGCTCCTGTCAGCGGCCTCCTCCGGACGGGTTAGCCGCTGCTGTGTGCTGCTGCTCCAGCTGCTCTGCTCGATGAACGCCGGCGTCTATCGGTGATCGACTACACAGCCTGTCTGTCAAAGTGTGTGTGCGTGTGTGGCTCCTCTATATAGACACTCTGTGAGCGGCTCTCACTGAGGCTGCAACACACACACACACACACACGCACAGACACACACACACACACGCTCATTTTCATCAACAGCAACAGGACAAAAGTCCAACACACATCAATACGATGCTGATGTGTTGTGCAAACACAGTGAGGAGGTGATACACATTATTGATCTCTGTCCATAAAGAGGTATAAAACCACAACCTGCACTCAGGAGCAGAAATCTGTCTGTAACTTCAAATCAATAATCATCAGACATTTATTGGGATGATTATCGGTTTCAACTGATTCCACACAGGGTAGTTTTTGCCCATATCAGCATACTTTTAAATATATTCACTTCTTCCAGTAGACCACATGGACCAAATTGTACGACCACACTACTAACCCACTCTGTTTTNTCAGAGTGAGCCTGAAGTTTGAGATGTCAGGCACAAGACGGAGGATTTCCTCAGTGACTCTGTAACCTACAGAATGAAAACAAAGGATTCATACACAAACAGCCACATGTTAAAAAGGGGGAAAGTGCAAATGAACAACTTATAAAATAAATAAATCATGTCATCTGGTGATACTGCAGCATTTCTGAGCAGCTGTGTATTTGAGTGTGATGTTACCATTGAGACTCCTGGAGGAGATTTTATCCATTTRCTTAAACCATRTGTCATCYAGGAGGTTGACTTTGTCACTGACAGACCTTTGTGGCAACCGGGCATAGATTAAATCCACCTATGAGATTACAGAAACACAAACCCAGTTATCACAGCACCAGTAGAGTTGTATGTTATTATTTTTACTTTGTATTTATCAGATCTTCATTTACCTCAATTCCATCAAATGTCATCTTGATGACTGGCACAACCGCTTCTTCGATAGCCTGAGGAGAACAATATTGTCAGTCACTTGCACTGGAGAAAAAAAGACTTTGACTTGCATGATATTTATAAATGATGCAATAATTGATATATATGACAAACCCGTATGTCTTTGACCTCCTCCTGGGCTTTGAGCTTCTCCAAAAAGGAGGTGAAGAAGACTATTGCCTCCAAAAATACAGGCCCAACACATAGAACATCAATATCAGCATCTGTCAAAGCAAAACAGATTCATATGAGAGTGAAGCTTATAATGTCACTTATGAAACTGTTAAATACAAGTTTCCGCAGTAAGAACATGTTAAAGTTGAGGAAAGAATCTTAGTTACCTTTGGAGAAAGCTCCCAGGCGATAGGAGCCGAACGGCAAGACCCTGCCTCCGACTTTGTCAGTGACAGTTTCAGGTACATTCTGAAATCAAAAAGCAAACCAATGAAGTTGTATCATCTACACAATTAAATGCTGTCTGTATGATATTTGGAAATACCTTTGAAACAACTGTATAGATAAAAAAGATGTTTCTTACCATTTCTCTGCACATGTCTTGGAGCCACTCCTCAAAGAGGGATTGCAGTTTTTTCACAACTTTCTCTCTGCAAATAAAGCATAAAGGGCATTTTCAAAATGTTTTTACTTTAGGATGTGTTTCACTTCCATTTTTCACGTCATTCACAGAGGATGCTGTTCTTTAACAACCAAGTCACAGGGTCACAATAGAAAACACTAAAAAACAGTTTCCACATGGTGGAAATAATGAAATATAGAATGATGGATCTTACCTGTGCTTCAGCTCCACCTCATTCACAAAGACATCTTGCGACTCCAGACTTTTAATCAATTCATTGGTCTGAATCAAGTCAGCCTGTGTCTGCCTGTCCCTGCAGCAGTAACATACATTGAACATACATTAGACACAGAATTAACTTATAACACAGTAACCGTACTTTGAAATTGGCCTGAGATGAATGTAAATGTAAATATGTACAGAGAAATTAAGGAAATTAAATTAAATGAAACATTTGTAGCAAAATAAAACTTTTACAGAGAAATTAAACATTTGCATAGGATTTAAATATATAAAGAGGAATTAAAAATGTGCATTCCTGCTATATATTCTGTTTACATTGTACGTATTATTTTCTTGTGGTATATTTCCTTGTTTTTATATTGTTTCTCTACTTGTTTATCCTCATTTTTGCTGTAACACGGCAAATATCCCCTTAGTGGGACTAATGAAGTATTACCTTAAACTGTCATGAAACAAAAAGTATATACACAAACCTTAGGGGTCTCAGTGTGTTAAATAAAGTGACTTGGGCCTCATTTTGTGAAATTAAATTGTGTTAACTACATATTGTAATATAAGGAAAGCTTCAGAAAATATAATAGGAAATGTGAACTGCAGTTGTACAGTGCATAATAGTACTTACGCTTCCATTGTCGAAAACATAATTCCTTTCTTTAAATGAATTACAATAAAAACTGGGAAATATCACGATATGCTGTTATAATCTTCTAAACAACACCACGAAAATGAACTAGAGCTCAGGCTGAGGGTGTCCAGAGTTAATAACGTTATGATCCAGCGTGCAGACACTAGAGATGTCTCCGTGGCTTTAATCTTGCCCTTGATAATAGGTTCCTACAAAGGAGATTAGAGAGTCCATTGATGTGTGACGCAACTTTCGTCACAGATAAGTTTATATTCAAAAGATAGCATCTGAATTCAGCTCATGTCACGTGGATGTATACATTTAAAAACACACACTGTGTTATACTACGTCACCACTACCAACTGTTTACTTACCAGCATCGAACCTCGTCCCTCTGCTCAGACAGAGTCCCTGGAGGGGAACAACGACCATGTTGACTCTGTTGATGTTAGCATGCTAACCAGCTAGCCCCGTCTCATTATAGCACAATGAAACAGTGAGTCCATGGAGGATCCAATCTGTCCTCGGTCCGTTACTATAGTGTCCGCTATGCAATGACAGATGACATGTCTGCTCCCCAAAGTAAAGCCTAAGGGTCTCGATCATCACCTGGTGGCTGACTACAGTACAGGTCATAAACCCCACCTCCTCCATGTTGGTGGGTCTGATATGGAGCAAACTAATAAATCAGAGTCCACCTAAAACAAACGTTTCTGTCAATTAATTTTCCAATACCTTTAACTTAGATTTGTTATTTGATGCTATAGAAACAATATAAAACATCCCCATATACTTCTGCTCTAATTAACCCAGCTTAAATGTTGCAACATAGAAAAGAAAAATCTTAACTTACACTTATATATATACTTGTTTACACTTTCATTTGAATAACAAAACAAGATACTGGGTCAGGATCAAGAAAGGGCCAATGTACTTACATGATAATCTATCTATTACACCTGTAAGAGAAACATGTAACATGACCTCCATCATTAAAATGGTCTGTAGAAAGAAATCAACTACAGTTGTTTCCAGACGTGGCAGCAAAGGTATTCAAATTCTTTACAACAAGAAAAAAGTACAGATACTTCTGTCAAAGGTGACTCAAGTAAGGGTATATGTATTGATTCATTATATTTACTCTAGTAAAATAATAAAAGTAAAGGATCTTAAATGTACTCAAAGTATGAAAGTAAAGAGTAAACCTCTGAGGACTATTTCTACCCACTGAATCTGTAAGAAGCAAACTGAGACTCCTGTCATAGTTCAATGACCATCTAAACGAAATAAATCTTTGTTCAAATCAAGTATTTAGAGTGGAATCTATGCCTCCATATTGATAAAACAAATCGTCTGTGACAAAAGAGCACTTCAAAGTGAATTTATTTTACTTTATCACTAACACAGGTCTCAACACATTCCACTGATGTCAAAACAGATCAATATTCATATACATGTATACGCGCACATATGTATAGTACATGAATAAGTAATACTTTTATGCATATGAGATTGAATCTGATACACAGCACATTGTGTGTGTGTTTATGGAGGGTCTAGACTGCAAAGATTATTTTTGAGTTAGGGGAAGATATTGAGAGAAACTTTCATTTGATGGTGAGAATGTGTCTTCACATCTTTAGCCACTATCTCCTACAATACAATGCATGAGAAGATGGACACTATGCATGACTGAGGCCTTTGCATGTTACATTTAGGCAATGAAACAATAGAAATTAACTATATGTTATTGTTGTGTATTGTATGCACAGTATACCGAATTCACAGTGCTGATAACAGGCAGAGTTGAGGGCTGCAAGGATTTTTGCCCTGGGGCCCCCTGGTGGGTTAATCCAGCCATGGTTGTGGTCCTTTGGGAACCATACCAGCACTGCTCAGGTTTGATTCTTAATAGAACATATGCTCCTTTGGTCTTATCCCCAAATGTTATGATTCAGTGATGTTGTTATAAATCAGCAATGCAGGTTTGAGAAGCCTCACCATTTTTTTAAAGCATGTAAACACATCAATGGATGAGGCAACATACAAAACATTAGGACTGTACACAATGTCTGCAACAATTAAACTGTCAGAAAGATGCTTCATGAGATTTTAGTCACATGTGAATAGACTTGTTATTGTAATCTGTTCCTACCAAAGTTTTAATCACCCAGATTGTTAAAATGCATGGGCAGAGGACCTGTGAGGCCTTGAGACCATGTGTTTGTATACAATTTATAGATTTGATATAGTTGGTACCTTCTAACAAAACCTGTGACCTGTTGAATTACGCCAGTTTACAAATATTTTTAATCTTATTAGCGGATTTTAAACACTTCAATGAAAAATGGCCTGAATCAAACAGTTTTAGGATTGACAATAGTATAGATGTCATTTGCTCTTCTTCAGGAATCTCTAGATGCAGTATCCAACTTTTACCCACTGCTGACCTAAAACAGATTTGCTTCTGTCCTTTACTAACTGCTTGGACTCCATGAATAATAAATGGGCAAAAACAGTTTATTCTAAACTGTAGCATGGAATAAAACACAAAGCCAAGCATAGACTGTTTTTAAGGCCTGTTTGTAATCTGTTTACAGTCAATGAAGCCAAATTGCAGGGAAATGTAAGAGAGCAGGTTTTTTGAACACAGAAGCATGATGCTGCTTCCAAATACAGACAATACGTGACACTGTCAAACAATATTGATCTATTGATTTCATTCTGTTTCATTTTTAGGAAAAACTGAAGTTTGATAGGTAAAGATGAACCTGTGAGTAAGGATGAACATATTAAGGAGCAGTTTTATCAATATAGAACAAAAAGAGTTTCGATGTTAAGGGGATTTCTTTTCAAACAGGCAATTCCTCTTTTATAAGAGACGTACAAAACTGGGCGGATTTTGCACATTTCCACTGAAATGCTTCATTTAGTGTGTAGTTTACTTTTATAGATCTTGATATGTACTCATCAAGAACTGAAGAAGGTTGAAGCTGATGAATGTTGAAGTGCAAGAATTGGACAGGAGGTTGAAAACTCAAAGAATGAGGCTGCAGCCGGAGTTCACACCAGGGAAATTGGTGTGAAGGAATTTCTGAGTGACCAAACAGCCAACGAGGAGTGACAGGACAGGCTCTCACTTGATTTAGTGAACTTTAATTCCTGAATGAGCAAATTAAAGCAAATCACACACATACAGCAGCCTCCCAGGGTTTGTGTCTCCCTCTTCGGTCTGCAGCACCTGAAAAGTTGCTGGTAAAGATGAACCTGTGAGTAAGGATGAATATATTAAGGAGCAGTTTTATCAATATAGAACAGGCTCTCACTTGATTTAGTGAACTTTAATTCCTGAATGAGAAAATTAAAGCAAGTCACACACATACAGCAGCCTCCCAGGGTTTGTGTCTCCCTCTTTGGTCTGCAGCACCTGAAAAGTTGCTGGACTTGTTTAATTTGCAGAATTGATGAACACTTTGATAAATTGCATTTATCCTGAACTAATCCAACTTTAAGTTTAGTAGCCAAACCTCTACGAAAAAACATCAGATGCTCATGATCCTGCATGGGCCACTTTCATCAAATATAACTTTTTCTCTTTTACATGCAAAGCCACAGCCAATACTCCATCTACAGTTGTGCAATTGTCAGCTTTATGATCAGTGTTTTTATTTATTTGCATCCCCTCATCCTCGGCCACCAGCAGCCCCACCATCACTTCGCAGGCAAACAAGCGCTCCCTGCCCGACATTATCTTCCTCCACCTCCGCTGGAAAAGGAGGCTGAAATGACGGATGCAGCCATGGGAGTGAGACCCGGGCACGGTTTATTTACATCTGAAGAGGCAGTGGAAGTTTAGAGGGAAGCCGCAGCGTGTGTCTCCCCCTTTTTTTTTTTACTTTCGCCGACCCCCTCCTCCTCCGCTGGCAGAAATTTATAAAGAACAAAAAATCCGACGAGGGAGGGAGGGGGGTTGATATACGCCGAGGCTGAAATCGAGAGGCGAACCCAGGGAAAGAGGAGTAATCTGCACACGGGACTTTCCCCCTCTTAGTCCCCCAAAAGGAGGGGGAAAAGTCGCAATATTGGACGCGAAGAGGAATGAGCTTCTGACGGCGTGAAAACGTCTGCAACTGTGGATACTTTATATATTTTTATTTCGAAAAAATATGGCCGAGAACGTTCTGGACTCTGGCCCGCCTTCAGCCAAGAGGCCTAAACTCTCCTCTCCGGCACTTTCCGCCTCCGCCAGCGATGGAAACGGTGAGTATTCGTCAATGATATCGTTTGTTACGGTGGGATCGGTCCAGCTCGGTGGTTTTCTGCGTGTCTGCTTCACTCGAAAGAGGCAGAAGACGCGGGATTACTCCTCTGTTTTTGTCGTAGCTCGCTAGCGTTAGCGTGCTAGCAGCGAGTGTTTGTCGGACGCGGAGAGGAGCTCCCCTCTCGCTAGCTCGCATGCTAACAGCCATTTTAGCCGGAGGTAGCGCTGTTAGCCACTCGGCTAACGCTAGGCGAGAACCGAATGCGGGTCCTCAAGCTTGGGTGTCCCGTGTCTAATGGCTACTCCAGCCCGGCTCGTAATAAGCCCTGAGCCGAGCCAAGTTGGGATAAAGTTTTTGGGGTTCTACAGATGTGGCAAATTGACAGTTAGCTACAACCATCCATACCGTGTTACCCGAGTTTTAAAGCCTCTCACATCTGAAACAATCTGTTGTTTTGCCCCATCATAACTCGGACCCTCTCCCGACAAGCCGTAGCCAGCGTTATTAGTGTTAGCCAAAAGCAGAGGTGGCCCACGGTGCTAGCCCTGTTGGAAGGCTCAATGTAGGCCCACAGGTCCCACTGATTGTTAAGCTCAAATTGCCATTGTTGGTGTGTGTGTTTGTGGATGGCGTGTGGCAGCAGCTGGAATAGAGTGGCCTGCGAACCAAACTGTGGAGCATGGACAGCGCCATGTCCAGCCACTGCGAAATGAAGCGGGGAGTGAAATGAGCCTGTAAAATGCTGCTCCGAGCACGAAACGATCACCTAGATTTCATCACTTAAGCGTCCATTCAATCGCTTTACAGCCAGCAGCTGTGTGCAGGGTGACAGCGAGCCCCCGTGGAAAGGGACTTTTAGCATGAAATCACCCAGACGTCGCACACATCTACGTTACCTTGCCTGATTTATTTCGAGGATCAGTGCAGTGCTGTCAAGGAAAGGACCCGTCAATGAGGATGCAGTTTATTGCGTCCAGATTTATTGTCTTCCAATATAATTTGTGGCACTGGTGTGCAGCGTGTTTACATTTAATTAGAGGAATAAAAGCATGTGACAAACAAATTGGTATAGGTTCTTTGCATACTATTATTTATTGTGTTCATTTCAATATACATTGGTGTTGCTGCTGCCGTCTCCAATATGGTAGTTTTCAGTTTATTTAAGGGTTAGAATTGCAACTGGTTATTTTCATTGTGGACAGATCATTTCACATAGTCACAGTACACCAACATGTAAAGAAACAAGTGACCAGTGTCCTGAGTCTGAACCAAAAATCCCCCAAATTCCGTTTTTTGTTTAAATGAACCACCTCAATCACTTTTGTTATCAGTAATTAGTAAATGTCTTGTAACCTGGCATATAACTTGAAAAAC